GTAAATCTATAATCCTACTACGAGAGTAACATTAAATAACCAGTTAACAGTATATCATTTATTGCAATCAGATAAAAGGAAATTAGCCCTCAAATCAAGTAGAGAGTAGTGTGTGACACATCATAACGACACTGGCATTTCATTGAAACACCAGTGTTAACCATCAATAGATGAATGTGAGTAAGAAGATATGACAACAAAGTGAACATTTGATCATCCGACTTGTCCTACTCATCAGTAGTATGATTTGACATGTGAAAGAAAGTGACCATGAAACTGACCGACAGAGATATCGATTGACTAATTCACTGACTGACTCACTCACTCACACATCTACCAGTTCACATGTCAGCTGACATTCACTAATCCCGTTATAACAACAATCACACTTGTCAACATCACAACATATCACTCATTAACACTCTCTTATCACCGGAAAAATAAACACAACACAATCTCGTGTGTCATATCTTCCACACAACTTGTCAACATGCATTCATTCATGCATGCACATAATGTGGATTGTATTTTGTGTGTTCCTGTGAGAATATGGGAGAAAATGCATTGATGCATATTATTTTTACTGTTCGATGTGACTGGGTTTTTCCACTGCTGTCACATTTCTGTTTTGTTGGACGTTTGGATTTCGGGTGGCTACAATGTTGGTCGACCATATCTGTGATTAGACCGGTTTGATTTAATTGACTGAATGAGTGGATACTTGAACGGATAGATACTTGGTTTGCTAATTGTTAAGAAAGTTTACTGTTTTAAACAGTGAACAGCTCATTCTGGAGCTATTTAACTGGTGATATGTTTGCCTGTTCGGATTAGAACATTATTGCTGAGTTGTGAGGAACCTGTTTACCGATTTGCAAATAAGTACTGTATATTCCTAATGTGTAATTGATTACTGTTCCTAGTTGATCATACAAGTCTGTTGTTGTACCAGTGACTGTCACTGTTAGAGAAAGCGTTGTTCAGGTTTATTCCTGTGTGAATTATTCATTGTCCATTATCCACCTTTCATAGAATCAATCAATCAAGGTGGGTCAGTGAAAACTTCATCGGTCTAGGTCTATTGGTATTAACGCGAATTATGAATCGAGCACATAATGCTTTCGTGTCTCTCTATAGTTGAATTGAGTGTTGTAATGATCTTATCCTTAAGCATCGTGACATTTAATCTGCCAGTGTACCATGTAGCGATATAATAATAAAATAAATAGATGAGTAAGTGAACATCTTTCTATGCTGAGATAGAAGAATGTTTAGAGTCGTCACGTTATAGTCAACCAATGGATTTTTTTTATTTTTCCATTTTGTACGACTAAGTTCTAAAGGATATCTTTTCGTTTGAATAATAAATTCTTGTGCAGTACTTATCTCGGGATTCACAGAGCTTTTCGTTTTTCCAACGACCTTCATTTTCTCCAGATGTATTGCTATCTGTTTGGTTTGTTGGAAGTACTTGTGGACATCCAATTAAATTCTATGTTCGTCTTGAGATTGACGTGATATCTGACGTTGTATCCAATTGCCGTTAAATATGAACACGATTTACCAATAATTTCACATACCTTCTTTTATATGCTATGCTTCGTGGTAATGTAGCATATATACTTTTTACAAATAGAAATACATAATCAAGTTACAGAATCGTTAGACGATAAGAATAAACGTATAATATTAGTCTATTATTCGTTCTCAGGAGGTACCCGTAATTTAATCGACACTAGGACATAACGATACGATTTACAACTTCTCGAACCTTGTTCCAACATTCCTGTGTGTGTGTGTGAGTCAGATTCACAAGTGCACACACATCCAGGTATCTGTGTTGTCAGTTGACCAATTAAGTCGATAATGATGACAAGATGTTTAAGCACTGCCACTTCTTTCGTTCTGTGCATTGTGTGTACACTGGTCAATGTCGAGTGACGACTGTTTACTTCTTTCAATCTATGCATAGCAAGCTAGTTGTTTGTCTGCTTGTTTATTTGTTTTGTTGATTAGTTTGTTGTTGTTAGTGTGTCGTTTGGTTGGTTGACTGACTGGCTAATTGATGGTTAATTTATCTCAGTGAATGCTGTCCAGTGGGAATTCGTTGTGGTGTCCTCAACACACAATCCAAACAACAAATCATATTACTGGTTGCATATGAAATCTGGAACAATCTGTTCAACCGACCGGAAACTGACAGAATGTTACAGTTGACATGGAAGCACTTGGAAAACAGTGACAACACAGTGTTCAGTCGATTGACTTTGTGAGTGCATGTATGGAGAGACACGAATGCATTATGTGCTCGATTCATAATTCGCGTTAATATCAATAGATCTAGATCGAAAAAGTTTTCACTGACACACCTTGATTGATTGATTCTATGAAAGGTGGATGACGGACAATGAATAATTCGGTATAGTAAGTATCGTGGAAAAGTGTTGGAGACGTTAGATCCCCCTCTTGGGAGAGGACCTAATTTTATTTTATTTAGAAAATTCGAATTTCTTTGTTTTCGCGCCAAAGGCGCTCTTGTCACCCTCATGTCGTATTTCCCACTGGGAAGTTTCGTAAATGCTATTAGTCCGTTGCGTCTTTTAGTATGCTATTTGGTAACTCTCTCCAAGGACGGTTTTGTACTGTATGTATACGTTTTGAATTATGTTTGTTGTTATCGCTCGTTTATGGCTGTTTGCGGATCATACTTCCCCATTCCAAGCTTGGACTTCTCCCTCCAGTTAGCGCGGCTGGGACTCATCAATAGCTAGTTTACTGGTCTGAACGAAGGGTTGTAACATCAGTCGGTCTGCATACAAGTGGAAATTGACAAAGATTCAAAGGAGTTATGAACCATTAATACCCACCGTGGACTCTATCAGTTTAAGCGATTACCGTCTGGCGTAAAGCCAGCTCCAGCAATTTCGCAGCAGATAGTGGATACTTTGATGCCTAACCTCAAAGGTGCAGCAGATTATTTGGATGATATTATAGTTGTTGGTTCTTCTGCTTAGGAAATACTGGTCCGGTTAGATGCTGTACTTACTAAAATATCGCAAGTGGATTTTCGGGTACAAAAAGAGAAGTGAATCCCTACTCGAGTCTTTTAGATACCTTGGGTACATGTTTGATAAGGATGGTCGTTGACCAGATCCAGATAATATAAATCCTATCAAAACATGCCCGGAAAGACTGATGTTACAACCCTTCGTTCATTTATGGGGATGATTGGATATTATAGTGTGTCCATACCCTAGATGTATAGATTGTGACACCCACTAAACCAACCTTTGATGGCTAATGCAACATGACACTGAACAAAGGGATGGCAAGATTCTTGCGACGAAATAAAAAGAATTTAATCTTGTAAACTGTTGCTGACCCATTACAATCCAAAGGTTAAAATAATTATGACCGCTGATGCTTCCAACTATGGAACTGGAGCTGTCATCAGTCATCGTTTACCTGTTGGTAAACAAAAACGAATTGCTCATATATCCCGAACTCTTAACCCAGCTGAACGAGAAAAGTCAGATTGAGAAAGAACTAGCTTTATTTTTTGCAGTAAATAAATTCCATAAAATGATTTATGGTCGTCAATTCGCCCTTCCAACAGGTCACAAGCCGCTCATATCTATATTTTGATCGACGTCGAGTATTCCTGCATATACAGCAAAACAGATTACGACGCTGGGCTATTACATTACTTGCTTATGATTTCAAAATTGTATGTAAATCAACAAAAACGTTTGGACCAGCTGATGCTTTATCTCGACTAATTACGAGTCAGAAGCAGGAAAGTGGAGATCCTATTATTGCAACGATATCGTTGGGAGAGGATATTCATCAAATACAAGTTGATATAAAAGCAACACTGTTATCCGCTGAAGATATTAAACGCTATACTTAAGAAGACGAGCTGAAGCGAATTAATAGTTCCCTCGAACATGGTTGGCCCGCTCACATAGACAACAAGAACACTGAGCAGTATACTTACCGAAAAAATTCCCTATGACTTGTGGACGGGTGCCTGATGTTTGGAGATCGAGTAGTTGTACCCACAAGCTTACTTCGTAAGGTGATGTTAGAGCTGCATGCCGTTCACTCAGTGGTACCACGGATGAAAGCACTTGCACGTGGCTATGTATACTGGCCGAATATTGATACTCAAATCGAATAATATGTTGCGAGATGTTCCGCATGTGTGAGAGCCATCAAAACCCCTCGGAAGACGGAAATGCAGAGTTGGGGAACACCAACAAATCCGTGGTCGAGAGTGCATGTGGATTTCTCCGGTCCCGTAAACAAGGAACAGTTCTTGGTGATCGTTGATGCCTTCTCCGAATGGCCAGAAGTCCACTACATGAAGTCTGTCTCGACAAAAGCTACTGTGGGAAAACTGAGACAAGAATCCGGCTACTTTGAGTGTCCAGATAAATTGGTGTTCAATAATGGACCACAATTTAACCCTGTTGAATTTTCGAAGTTCTGCATCGGCAATGCCGTTAGGCATATCAAGACACCTCCATACCATCCATAGTCTAACGGTTTAGTCGAGAGGTTCGTGTACATGTTTAAAAGAGCACTGTTTAAAACCGAGGGAGGAGATTTCTACTAACCTACCGCGCAACACGCGACCCAGCAACAAATAATCAGGAATGTCCGGCAGAAGCAATTATGGAGGGAAAATTAGAATACCTAGAGAACAAATGAAACTAAAACCTAGAACCAACCTCTGCAAGAATAAACGACAACAACAGACATAGTGCATTACCCAGATCGTTCAGCGTGGGACAAACGGTAATAGCAAGAGATTTCCTGGGAGTAAAGCCAACCTGGAAGTTTGGCATCATAATCCGAATAAAAGAAAAGTCATCGATGAAGTAAAAGTAAGACAAAAGATATGGGTGTGACACGCAAACCAGATACAACCAACCAGACAAGAATGGGAGACAGGGAGTGATATAAAGCCGGATATACCGTAGTGAACGAGAACACAGGCGGGGACAAACAAATGTATTTGAACACAAATTTACAGAATCTGTTAGGAAAATCTGAGAACCATATAGTAAATACTTCATTTGCAAGATGTCTATCGATTGTCTCAGACGTTACTGTTCCTTCGTTTCCGCACCAATAACTCTGTTCTCGTTCTCGCCTCTTCGATCTTCTCAATCTTCTGCAGCCAAACATTCCAATTTCGATCGGTGACACATCCTACTTATATCGGTCATCAATAGAACACAAACTATTACAGATTTATAATGGAAAAGTTCTGTGTAAAAAAATACATTTAAATAATAAGCTTTGTGTAGGAGAGATTTGTATTGTCACAAAAAGAATATGTACATGAAAGTTATTTGATAAACTAAGTGATTAATTATAAATATTAACATGTTGGTCGTGTGTGAATACAGGTAAAATGATAGGGAATTCTAAAACATTTCATGTATTATGGTTGTTAGTACAATGAAATATATTTTGAGGAATATAAAAACTATAAATGCAAAAACCCTGAAATATGGGATGAATCAATATAATGCGGTATGTATGTATAATGGTGATGATAAAAATATAACTTCCTTACGAGTACGTATAATAAACTATACGTGTATCTCTGCTTATAGGTGATTGATAGAATTATGGAAAGTCATATAATATAAGTATCGACAAATCATCGTAAACAGTTTTTAGTCATTCCTGAAGAGAATAAGTTTACAAATAAACAACTAAGATCATTCCAATTTCTTTAGTATAAGTGGGATTCAGTTAGTTCATCTTCATCATCATCTACGAGTGAATCACTGGAAAAAAAAAACAATGAATGACAAGTGAAGTAATGTTTAGATTTATACCAATTAAAAAAAATAATCCGCTTTACAGACAATTACTGTAGTCTATATTTTCCATTGGTACTTTGACAAAAACACAAACAACAGAGTTTGATGCGTACACGATAAGATGAGTGGTTTTTAATTGGAGTTCTTTCGTTGTTCATATAAACGAAATCTATGTCCCAAAATAAATTAAATTTGAGGGTCATCGAGTCAGACAATACCGTTTCATACATTTGAAAAATATGCGTTAATTGGAGACAAACAGTTGTTAGTAGGTATTTACAGAGAGAGATAATCAATACTAGTATTGAATATTAAAAGTTGCACCATAATTTCTTCATGACTGGTTATTCCGATAACTAATGTTTCGGAAACTTTCAGATTCTAGTTTGCTTGTAAGCAAGTACTTAATAGCTTTAGTAACAGTTTCCCAATTCCCACAAATTATAGCCACAGAATAAATAGACATAGTATACAAACATATCGAAACGCATCAACCAAGTATTTCAGAGCCGTTGAGTTGCAAAAAAGGAGTGTACATGTTGTGAACCATTTAAACTCATTTTTTGACTTGAAACAGAATTATATTCACACAACTTTCATCATATGAAAACTGATGATTCAGTTCACAGGTACTAAGAGTGGATTTAAAAATGACTTCACTCTCTCTCCCTATATATATATAACTGGACTCTTATTTTCGCTGATAACGAAATCCTGAAAATTAATGATAAGTATGACAATATCTTCAAATGGAACATCGAGCAGTATACAATAGACAGAGTACAATTCGAAAAATGCGCCTATATTTCGTAAACAAGAATTTACAGATAGCACACAAAAGTAGATTATACTAATGACTGATTTCTCGGCCATTACCATACATTGCATGCGACCTCCAAAATTTATAAATTGGGTTTTCATTTCAGCCCCCAAATGAACTGGTACGGCCGAGAGTGGGGAGGGTCCGCTCTCCCTCTCGAAATACTCTCACACGGCCACGCGTAAACAGCCTCTGCCAAGGAAGTCCTACTCATTGCCTTTTCGTGGCGGGGGTGTTGTTTACGAAAATGAGAGGACGAAAAGCGAATGTCCGGCGCTTTAACCGGATCCCAAACCAGTGGTGCACATGGGCTCCAGTATCGCAGCCCACACGCAAATGATGAACTCTCTATATCCATGGAAACTACCTTTCTCGCTTCGAATAACAATCAGATTATTATTATTATTTTCCACATTATTCACCCTCTTTTATACTTAGACAGCGGCTCGTCTTTGGTGGAAATTCGACTGTATCTAAACGTTCTCGAGTCACTGTACGGTTGAAAATTGTATGTTACCACTGAATATGAGTACTGAAGCAGTTTTTCTGAAACCACGTGCACCATTCAAACTGGCTGCCTTCAACGTTCGCACACTTATGCAAGTTGGACAACAGACAGGGCTGGCAATGTCTTTGGAAAGTCTTAATATCGATGTCTGTTGTCTATCCGAGACCCGTATTCAAGACTCTGGTGAAGTACTACAAATTCGCTCTCCATCTGTCGCTTCGAAAAGCTTGTTCTATGTGCGCTTATCCGGGGACCCTGTGGCATCGTCGGCTGGTCTTGCTGGCGTTGGTGTCGCACTAAGCGCTAGAGCTGAGGCAGCACTAATCGATTGGATCCCCACTAACAGTCGGTTATGTGCTGTTAGATTAGAAAGTTCCATCAAAGTAAGAAGAAATCGGCGTGAGAAACGATGTCTTTTCGTCATCTCCGCCTATGCTCCAACAGATGTATTCTACCACCAGTTATCTGTTCTTCTCCAGAAAGTGCGTTCGACAGATATTGTAGTACTAGCCGGAGACTTGAATGCTCAGGTCGGGCGTCCAGGCACAGAAGAGAGTCGTTTAAGTGGCCGATGGGGACTCGTTGGTCGCAGGTCAGATTACGGGGACCGTCTACTGCAACTTTGCACAGACCACAACCTGTTTCTGGCTAGCACTAACTTTCGACACAGTCATCGCCGATATGCCACATGGCGTCCTCCCTCTGCATCCCAAGCCTGAACTCAGATTGATCACATCGCGATCAGCTACCGCTGGCGTGGTTGTGTACTGCCGCTCCTTTTGGAGTACCTATCTGGACTCTGACCATGCCTTGGTCTGCGCTAATCTTACTTTACTTTTCAGTGGACAACGAAATGACCGCCACCAACGGATTGATGTTAGCAAGCTGGTTGCAATTTCTGTTGCTAGTAAGTATCGAACCGAGCTAGCTTCTAGGCTAGCTACCATTCCACCGAAAAGTATAGATGACCATTGGTTGCAATTGCATGACGCCATGAAAATAGCGGGAACAGTCAGTTGTGGGTTCGCGAAACGTCCCGCTTATAAGCACTGGGTTTCTTCTGGCTCCTTACAACTCATTGAAGCCCGTCGGTCTACTCCAGGTGACCGTGAGTTTGACCACAAACGAAGGATGTTACGTAAGGAAATTGGGCAAAGCTTGCGTAAGGACCGAGAAGCTTGGTGGTTGGAGCGTGCTAATGAGTTGGAAGCAGCAGCTGCATCTGGTAATCACTGGAAGCGCTTCCAACTCATCCGAACCACTGGCAGCAAGAAGTCTGGTGTGAGTGAAACAATCTGCGAGGATGATGGGATGCCAATCACTAACATCCATCGACGTCTTGCACGATGGGCAGAATTTTTCGAAGGGTAGTTCAACTGGCCTGCTGCTCCAGCAACATCGGTCAGACTGTCTTGCCCTCCGCGGCCGGTGACGACTGATCCACCAAACGAGGAGGAAGTCCGTAAGGAACTCCAACTATTGAAGCGCTAAAAATAACCGGGCCCAGATGACTTACCTCCTGCTCTTTTTAAAGATGATGATGACTTTCTGACTAAGGAATTGACGACGTTGTTTACAAAGGTTTCGGAACTAGAGAGTGTACCAACGTCATGGAATGAGTCGATAGTTGTCCCTATCTTTAAAAAGGGTTCACGTCGTTCCTGCAACAACTATCGGGGGATAAGTCTACTTCCGATTGCGTCCAAGCTATTGGCTTCCGTCATACTTCGTAGATTGTTCAAAATCCGAAAAAGATTGACTCGCGAGGAGCAGGCTGATTTTCGTCCTGGTCGAGGACGTATTGATCATATCTTCACCCCCCGCCAAATGTTAGAACACCGCCATACTTATCGAAGGCCAACAATCTTAGTGTTTCTTGACATCAGGGCTGCCTTCGATTCATTGGACGGGACTGTTCTCTGGGATTGTGTATTGAAGAAGCGTGTGCCTGAGAAGTTTATTAACATCCTAAAAGCCCTATATAAAAACACTTCAGGCAGAGTGAGGGCATATAACCACCTCTCTCCATTGTTCCATTCGAGCTGTGGGGTTAGGCAGGGTTGCCCTATCTCACCATTCCTCTTCAACTTTGCCATCGATGACATTCTGTAAACAGCTCTGATGGATGTAAGTAATGGTGGTGTGGATTTGTTGCCTGGAGAAAGACTTTTCGACCTTCAGTATACAGATGATATTGTCTTACTGTGATAATGCCCAAGGCATGCAATCCGCACTTAATCAGTTGGCAATCAGTGTCCGTAGGTATGGTATGTGCTTTGCACCTTCGAAGTGCAAAGTACTTCTACAAGACTGGCAGGATTCTAATCCTGTACTCACCCTGGATGGTGAGCAGATAGACGTAGTCGAGAAGTTCGTGTATCTGGGTAGCTGCATAAGTGCTGGTGGTGGCATGAGTGATGAGATCAATACACGTATAGTGAAAGCCAGAGCGGCTTATGCCAGTCTGGGCCATCTTTGGCGCCTTCGTGATGTTAGTCTGGCTGTAAAAGGTCGGATCTACAACGCATCGGTGAGAGCAGTTTTGCTCTATGCTTGTGAAACCTGGCCTCTCCGAGTTGAGGACGTTAGACGACTTTCTGTGTTCGAGCATCGTTGTCTCCGAAGGATTGCTGACATCCAGTGGCAACACCATGTCAGTAATGCAGGGGTTTGGCATCGTGTGTTAGGGCACAGAGACGATAATGCAATCGATGTCACCATTCTGAAACACCGACTTCGGTGGCTTGGTCATGTTCTACGAATGTCGTCCCAGAGAATTCCACGTCGTGCATTATTTGCCGACTCTGGGACTGGTTAGAAGAAGCAGAGAGGTGGTCAGTGCATGACGTGGTGTCGCGGTATAAAAGAAAGCTGCAAAGGACTGGCTTCTGTCGGCCCTTCGCGACTCCCTGGTTGGGGTCCGAGAGATTGTGCAACGCAGTCGCTAGAGACGTTATCAGATATGGCTCAGAATAGAAGCCAGTGGCGATCCTGCTGTAACCTTTTACTTTCTTCATAAAAAGTGGTTGTCTCCCTTACTTGAAAGATTTCTTCTGATTGTACCTTTCCGTTCCCTCATTGTTACTGTTATTATTACTAAACTACCTTACACCAACCTCTTCGTTATTGTTCTGTTTTTTTTCTTTCTCTTCGAATCCTCATTGTTTTGTGTGGCGCATATATATTGGCGCTCTCTTGTACCAATATTTATGTGTTCAAATAAATAAATAAATAATCTCATTTCAAGAAATCATGGGTTCTTTGTTTCGATGTGTTGGAGACTTAATGATAGAACAGCATTAAAAATAATTCGATCTAAGAAAATATATCTTTAGAAAATAGACATACTAAACTAGTCTTGTATTGAATGCAAATCATGGAGGATCCTAATCAAGAAATAAAGCTACAATATCATACAAATAAAGTAAACAATTACCAGTCAACTGTGTTATTAGAATACTGACGATAACAAGCTAAGACATCCATACTACTATTCTGTTATTTGAAATGTCGACAGCTTTTAATAAAACAAATCCTTGGAATAATTCGAGTAAACAGTTTGTGTTTATTGATAGCTAACCAGAATTTACGTGCACCTATTACCTCAAACATACATCTAATATCCATATCGAACAAAGAACGAAACGATACTAAGCTTCTAATGAGTCTCCGATACTAGAATAAGTTAACCGAAAAACAGCAGTTAACTGTATCATTTTCAAACGAATAGTATATTTTCTGTAGTTAATAGTGATTAAGACAAATATAGATACAAGACCTGATGCGAATTAAACTTATGACAACAGTGAAAATTTGAACAAAAATAATAGAAAACAATTTGGTTCCCTATTTTTATCCACCACAGTAAAAAAAAATAAGATATGCTTACTTTAATACACGAAGAGAAAAGAATAATACACGACGTAAGCATCGATTATGAAAAAAATAATTGAAAGATGCTAAACATCCTGAGCTGTATGGATCGGATAGATGATCAGGACGATAACTAAACCAAAAGAGAAGAACGATAAAAGTAAAATTAGTGTAGATATTATTCATTCAGTAAAGTCGGTAGGATCTAAACTTCATGACATGAAAATAAAATGATACCATCATATTAAAGTTCTTAGGAAACATTTACCTATATATACGACATTGAGCAGGCACAATTTCATCACCGATGACTTTCCAAAGATGAGGTGCTAGATCTTCGTATTTATCCACATAAATGGAACAGAACCGAGAAATGTAGTGTTTTACAAGCTGACGAAATGAAAGTGAAGATAATCATGAGGATATTAAAGAAATTAGTAAAATTGAGATCGCTGAGTCAATATATACATAAATATGATCTTTGAACAGTAAGTAACGGTTACACTAAAGAAGAGGAGTTTTTGAAGGAACTCCAACTTTTAAACCACCATAAGTCACTAGGCCCAGATGGCGTACACCACTTCCTCCTCCCCACGGATGGAGGCAAACTTCTGGCCAGAGATCTTACTAATTAAATTGGGAAGATTATGGAAGTAAACAGTTCTGTAATCTTGCAATGAAGCGACTGCCGCCCCCACCACTTCTGGAAGGGACTATGTAAAGCAATTGAAAATGGTTAGTGTATGAGTATTCTCACAAACTGCGAACTACTTAATTTGTGACAAGACTCCGTGGTCTAAAAGGTAGTTGCATGAGACTGACATATGTTAGTTAATCGCAACTCCCTAAGTGGGCTCTTGTATATAGCTGCTCAGTGGCTTGAGGCGTTGGTATAAAGAACAGAAGCTAGTGATGATCATTCTGCAGCCTCTAAACACATTCTTTATGAAAGACAAACTATGTTAGATGAACGATATCTCACATCGCCATTTTCTTAGTTTAGCTATATCATTTAATCAATACAATTATTGTCAATTTATTTAGACTGTATAATCTTTACAATAATATTAATCCATCTTGTGTGGCGCTCTATTGTGTTAAAATATGCATTAATTAAATCGTTAAAATATCTGGAACGACGTTAAGAAAATAATCGTTGCTGTTTAGTGAACAACAAGCATATTTGTCTTAATTAAGTGGTTCATGAATCTAATCTTAGAGTTTTGATGCTTTTTATAAGCTTATGTGAGCACAAAACTATGATTAGGTCAATAATAAAACATAGCCAACCCAACTTTTTTAATTCTTATCTGGAACTATATTATTGCTTATTGTCAAGTCTATGAATTAGAATGTTGAGTATAAAAAATTTAAGAAGATAAAACACGCGCTTTTTATCACATATCCCGAACATGCAAGCATGTTCGGGATGCGATTCTCTCCCTCGAAATGCAAAATGTTGCTTCAGGATTGGGTTACATCGACACCCGAACTAGTGATAGGGAGTGAAGTAGTTGAGTCTGTCGACCGCTTCACTTATCTTGGAAGTCTCATCAGCCCTTGTGGTCTGGTGTGTGACGAAATCTCAGCACAGATACAGAAGGCTCGACTAGCTTTTGCCAACTTGCGTCATTTATGGCGTAGGCGAGATATCCGTCTACCAACCAAAGGACGTGTTTACTGCGCAGCAGTTCGTTCCGTCCTACTTTATGGCTGTGAAACATGGCCGGTAAGAGTAGAGGATATTCGTAGGTTACTAGTATTTGATCATAGGTGTCTTCGAAGTATTGCTCGTATATCCTGGGACCACCGAGTAAGTAACGCAGCTGTTAGGAAACGGGTACTAGGTAAGGATGGCAAATCAATTGATGAAGTAGTGAAACTTCATCAGTTGAGATGGCTGGGACACGTGTTACGTATGCCCAACCACCGACTACCTCGACGTGCTATATTCAGTGGTATAGGAGTAGGTTGGAAGAAAGCTAGGGGCGGCCAGACCAAAACATGGCACAAATCCATGAAGTCACTGACAAGTGAACTGAGTCATGTTGGTAGGTGTAGACTACCTGGTTGGGGACCGCGAGATGATAGCAACCGATGGTTAGAGACCCTGAATGACATGGCTCAAAATCGATTGCAATGGCGCAGGTGCATCCACTCTCTATGTTCTCCCAAATTCTAATTATCTGAATTCTTCATGCCCCTTTTTTTCCTCTTTCCAAATTTATTTCACTGGATTATACTCGTTAAATAACATCTCCAAACCCTAATCCTCCCGATTACTGCTTATACTCTTGCTACCTCTACCACTACGGGATTTGAATCGACCACTGCATCTCTGTGCTAATGTGGTATGGCAACTCGAACTGATGTACTTACGTACTAAGTTCTACGTTGTTACTGACTGACTTTTATCACATATTCTGTGCTTTACTCCAGATCTCTAGTATTTCAAACGAACAATATATAGCTGAATTCTTACGGCTACATGTAACAAAATCTTGGAGTACAGTGTTAAAATATAATTACCGACTGGCTGAAAGATAAGTAATCTCAAACATCTATTAAATGAATTCTGTAGAAAAGATTTTTTACTTTTGTTTAGATGGAAGTGTATTCTCAACTGAATGTCGATGACAGAATTCCCAATAGTTTACCAGTCAACATTTATACATAGGAATTAATACGAATAGTTTCAAGTATTACATTTTCAGATGCTGGCATTGTTCATAAGTTGTCTTGGAAAAATAAGACATTTCTTAGTGGAAAATCTCATCCAACAGTGTTTAAATGATTCAGAGAAACGCAGTTCACTCCTTATCATATAAAACTAATACGAAGAGTTACAAAACCGGTTGGGAGTATGGTGTCATGCATGAAAAGTTAGAATGAAATCCACTAACAACGTACCCATAGTTCAGGTTCCAAACAAAATTCATCACTTCTAGCAGTAAGGAAATCATAGGCAGGGCCAAAACAGCTATTTAATGTACTCATTAAACAGAACAAATCTTTGGTTGATAGAGCTGAGGTTGGGAACTTCGGAGACGGTGATTCTGAAGTACTATCATTCAAACATATAGATGTTTCAGATCGAGTACGTTTTCTTCCGCTGCATACATTTCTGGGAGGGGAGAGGCTGGAAGAATTCTGTCAAATTAATCAGGAATCAAGATATTAAAATAAATATAAGAACTATGAACAACCTCAAAACAATGGCATTATTGATCGCTCAACCATCACTGAATGTAAACAGATAACACATTTAAATAATTATTTTAAGAATAAGCGCGTACTACACACATTCCTAACTAATATTTAACAGACTGTACGGACCAATTTCTTTTATAACACAAATAAGTATAATTGAGTTCCAACAGTTTCCTTAGTGTTGTAAATAGATCTTTATTTCAGTCTGGATATTTATGTCTGAGATAAAACATGCTATTGAATTACCAGTATAATAAAGTAATAAACCAGTAATCTTGTGATGAATCACATCTACACTTAAATATCAAACTAAAACTATGAATAACTGCAAGTAGTCCGAGATGAATGCACCGTGATTTGAAGGTAAGGACTGCTTATTTGCACCTACTTCGTTAGTTTATCCATTTTAAACGGGAATCTCATACTTACTTAGATTATCATCCAAAGATGTTTGTAATTTAAAGTTATTAAATAATAGCTGGATTTCGTCTCGTTGCTCACCTTCGGCCTTCCCGACATGGTTGAACCTCGGTCGGTATAGCCCTCAGGATCACTGCAACACACAAGCCCGTCTACCACGCCAAGGTACCAGCCAACAGACGGGTCGATTCTAAACTGTGAACACCTACACAACTAGTAATTACTAGCACTATTATATCTTCAAATAATAAGAGATATTTTAAGTCAGTGAGTATAAGGCAGTAACAAATCCCTGAAAATAAAATCCTATATGAATATATAGTTGGTTATTTTTCTATTTTTCCGGTTTTTGGCATAACGTAATTATATGTTAGAGTAATATTATTAATGTACATAAGTCGTATTTACTTGGCTTTGCGAAGCTAAAATGACAAGCAGATTATAAAAAAACACGTGGATAGAAATAAAGAGCAACTGGGACGGAAATAATCCGCAAGATGGTAGCATTAAGCGTAAAATTTTAGTCAAGTACTTCGTAAACTTCTACTGCTAACCCAGAGAGATGCACCAACTCTATAAAAGCATACAATGAGAACTCAATAAAATGATACGAGGACACAGAGAGTAATTAAATAAAATTATAAGAAACAAGTGACCGGTGGTGACTGATCCTGGATGATACTCATCCGAATTGTTTCGGGATCGACCACTTGTCCAGTCATTTCATATAAATCCCGTAGAGTTTGCGAGGACCCAAGGTAAAGGACAGGAGATTCTTGATTTTCATCACTATTTAAACGAGAAACTAATTCCTTATATTGACGTTTCTCTTCTGAAACCATTTTGCATGAATAGCTTTCTAGCCTAGAAGAGCAAAGTAATTAAAACAACACATCAGATACATAAACAATTTGAGGTAAACTTCGGTATGTAAGACTAAAAAGTAAACATAAAAGTTATGCGAATGTTTGTAAATTGGGTTTATAAAGATAGGATTAGAACGAGGAATAAAAATCAAATCATAAACTACATAGACGTCCGGAAACTGGTGTGAGTTTATAACTGATGGGAAGCCTGTAGCAATTGATTGAAAGAAACAAACTAGATAACGAGTTGAGTTTGTAACCCGACATGTCGTAATTTAACCAGTATACATAGTCACAGCTTTATTATGAAATTTAAAAAAAACCAATTAAAAAGGTTTCATTTCTTAAATCTCCCTGAAATAGTAATCCCAACGACTTCACTGAATCTTCATAAGTTTTAGTTAAGGGGGCCTATCGAAGTAACAACGCTACAGAAAGAGATGGTTGTTTATTGGTGATTTCAGTTTGTCAACCGGGTTAAGCCCCGAATTATTGATAAACTGGATTCTCATACAATCACCGCTCACAAACAAAGTGTATTTCTTTGCAATGATGAAATAGCTTACGCGACGATAATACCAGTTTTTGTTGCGCGTATAAATAAACTTTGCCATACATTTTCTGAAGGCTGGGGTGACGCAGGGACGGTGATTTCATATAACTTTAGAAGACCTGAAAATACGAAGCGAAACAAATACACAGGCTAAAATCCGTGACATATACGAAAGCCATGGCTTTCATGAGTGTAAAGACCGAAATAAATGTGGATAAGTTTAAATCACTGTTTTTGAAGAGTAGCTAACAGGACGGAAGGGTCTTTACAAAGACATCACTGGTCAAATAGAAACAAATATAAAAAATCCGGAAGGGATAAAGGAGCGAGAAGTATAAAATATCCATTGAAAATGTGTGAATTTTAGGAAGAAGTAACAAGGTCCATCAACTTCTGAAATTTTCGCAGAAATTTATTCAAGTGTGGTTTTCTTCCTCAGAATTCCCTTAAAATTTTTATGTAACCGGGATTTTGTCCCGAAATTCGCCATGAATGGTAGCTTGGGGTGTAAAATATGTATAAAATATCATGAATCTTCATTGGGGAGTGAAGAAATCTGAGATTCTTTAAATTATTGAGGTTAGAGTATAGGTTGAGTTAAACCAAAAATGATATCAGTCGGACAGAAAAGTAATAGCATCGAAAATCAACCAGTTGACTGGATATAAGAACAACCAATTTTCGAAGATTATCGGAAATCTTACACATTAATGGAGTAAAACTCATAAAGCCTACATATCAAATAGGATAAATGGTCTGATTTCTTTAATATACATAATAATTCGAGGATACCGTGACAACTGTTCCCCAATAGTTAACTATTGGGGGAGAGTAGTATATATGTACATATGTAATCCATCAATTTGATGGATTAAAATTATGAACGAAGCTTGAAAACTTAGTGGGTTAAATTTAACACACCTGGCATCAATTTTATATCTTTTACTACCGTTACTTAATTGCGAACTCAAACCTTCCAAGCCAAATTGGTCTAACAGCTTCATCTTCCGACAATAAATTGAGCTCCACAGATCATAAGGCTACAAAGAAATTTCAATATCCAATATTTACTTGGTGATAGTACAAGTGTTTGCTATCAAGCCTTGATGTCAAAGTACAATCTCAAGTATTTATCAAGTATTTATTAATGAGAATTTCTATACTGTTTGATTTCATATGTGATACGAAACACAGTAAAAATAGGTAATTTTATTTATTTTGTGTCAACAGATCCCTAATTATTAATTTAGCCGTAATCAGATACCCTAAACAAATATTTATGTGAGTTTGTTTCTTCTTTGGTATCAAATACTAAATACATGACTATATAGACGACGCCGAAATATGACAGAAAGTGGCGGAAAACTAAGTTGACTCCGAAATCTTATAGATGTGATTTAAGGAATGGTTAATAGTTATTAGTGTAATTATGTTTGTACGAATACAGAAAACCTCTGTCATCATTTCTTACAAAATAAATGAGGGTTTTTAGTGAATCATAGCTTTAAGGCTACATTTTAAGGGTTCCAGAGTATTATATCTAGAGCCTAGATTCTTAATATACCGCGTATGGCTTCAGCACTCGAACGCTAGAACACTCCCAAGTCTCAAATGAGAAGGCAGAAGAAAAGTGAAAGGAATGCTATTCCGGACGGTGTCAATTATGATACAAAATTCAGGTATAGTTTTTAGTAAAAACGAAATCACCATCATAGTCCTCCAGTCCGCATACAGGGGGTCATTAGCATTTGTCCAATAGCGAAGCTCTACGTAAGGATTCTGGAACATTCTTTCAAAGGATGATTGGATGAAATGTCTTCGGGCCTTACTGAGCTTTTCAGGGCCTCATTGAATTCACCCGCCAACTGTCCTCATACAGATTGATATGGATTGTTGCTTAGAAGTATACTCAATACACTTTACACTATTTTTGAGAAACAAATGACAAAAATCTGTTTGTACGTCACACGGCTTTGAAGCAAGCAGTCTCATCTTCTAGGAAGATTACAGAATGTCGCCACACATGCAGTTCCAGAAGTGTCTGGCCTTCCTTCAGATGACCGGTCTACAAATACAGATTACTTGGTTCCATCCTATCTTAGATTTAGAGGTAACTTATTACAATATTCAAGCGCCTGAGGACTGGATTTAGGCTCGATTTATTCTTATTTTGACGGACGAGATCGGATTTACCAAGTAAACGGAATATGTAAGTACAATCTCAAAGAGAAAGTCGAATCCCTGAAACATATGATGTTCCTTCCTTGTGATATACATTCAGAAATGGTATCTCCTATTTAGAAAGACTAATTCAAATGTAGTGGTAATGATGCTCAAGAACAAAAATTCTGTAAGTCTTCGATATTTTTGCCGACCTCGTTAGTTTTATTCGATACAACCTCGCTGAATGCATTAGGTCACGTATCCGTACCAGATCATAAATAAGTATGCCGTACTACACACTAATCACAACTACCAGCCAGCTTAGATCAAACGCTTCTCAAAATATAGAATACCTTGCAAATATACCTTTGAACTCATCCATCCCTGACTTCTGATCTGATTGGGTTTGGAATCATTCAGTTATATAGTTGTCATGGACGAAAGCGTTGTCGAACCCTGAATATCTGTAGCATATTGACTAGCAAATTGGTCAGCGAAATTTCTGTTTATGAAGCTTTACGAATGTCCTGGAAGAACGATCAAAATGTTGATGACAAACATAAACTTATATATTTCTGTCCAGGATTACCTTGTTATTATGACTCGTTGGAAATGGACCTCAACAAGTGTGGTTCGAGATTAAAAATTCCTGTTTCCTAGGGCTTGGTTCGGGAGATGTTACTTATTGTATGTCTGTCCTATTAGACTCAAACCTGAAGTTCATTTAGTCTCTTTATGCCACAAAAATGATCCTTGACTAATAACGAGAGACGTTTAATGTTATTTTTGATGGGAAAGAAGGTCAGTATGTGAATAAAGATGATTCGGATCCAACATATTTTGAAATGGATGAACGAACGAGGTTACTTCGCTTGAAATTTTCAAATCCATTTGGGCTAATAAGAAATTCTTTACCTCATCAAGAGAACAGGAATTGGAGGTGGAGTAGCCTTATACTTACAATCCTGCCTGGAGGTACATCAAGTGCACAACCAAGAGTTATCGATCTTGATGAATCCGTATGGTGCTCAGTAAGATTGTCTACCACCTCGAGGTGTCTAGTTAGAGTCATCTACAGGAAGCCCACTGCTGACATCGAGTATGACAATCGTATGTTGGAAGAATTATCCCACTATACTCGTCTCGGATTCACTCATATCCTGATTCTAGGGAACTTCAATCTTCCTAAAGTCAATTTCGTAGAACATATGTATATTGGAGGTGAAAGCTCCACTGAAGCTCGGTTCTTCAACCTCATTGGAGATCTGAAATTACTCGAAAATATGAAGTCGGCAACTCGTTGGAAAAACAATCAGATACCGTCTCGCTTGGACTGGGTACTTACGGACGAAGAATTCCTAACTGACAGCCTCTCAATTCTGGCTCTCCTGGGGGGAAAAGATCACACCGTCATAGCCTTTAGTTCTATCAGCAAAATTGAACCAAGATATTCCACCAACAACAAACGCTGAGATTTCAAGCGGTTGAATGTGTCAGCTTTACAAGACAATCTACAACAGGTAGATTTCCTAATCCACCCTCAACTTTGATGTAGATACTCATTGGAATTTTTTACTGCACACGATCTTATGTGCTACAAAGCACTTTGTTCCTCAAATAGTCCTCAAAAAGCTTATTCCGTTATGCAGCCTCTCTTCGACATGCCAAAACTGGAGTTTCCCAACTGATAGGTCCTAATGACCCGACCAATAAAGATGGTGACGCTACTAGCCTTCTGGCGAAACAGTGCTCTCGGATATTTCAACCGACCCACGTTAACCATACTGATGAAAGCTTTATCCGCAACTACACAGGACTTTCCGAAGTGAACTTGAGCGCTGACTTGATGTACCAGAAACTGTCGCACTTAAGAAAAGACACTTCTGGTTTATATATGGTCTATTCTGCTATAATGAAGGAAGCAGCCTAAATCCCGGCAACACCGCTCAGCGTGATGTTCTCACACTCGCTAAGCCGAGGTACATTGTCAGAAAATTGGAAGCTGGCTCACATCACACAGACCTTTGAAGGTCGACGCAACGAACCTTCGACCTACCGACCAGTGGCTCTTCTCTCTATACCCTTAAAAATTATGGAGTACCTGATATGCGGCAGTATACACGATTTTTTATTATCTTTAAAACTATTTTCACCCCGATAGCATGGTTTCAGGAAGAGTCATTCTTGCATAACCAACATGCTGACTGCGGTGGACAGACGGACAACCATACTTGATCGCAAGAGGACAGTTGACGTCATTTACCTTAACTGCTCAAAAGCTTTTATAGGGTCGACCACATATATATTATCAAAAATCTCAAACGATTAGGTGTAAAATCATCTTTAATTGATTGACTCGCTTCATATCTGAAAAATCGACGTTTTAAGGTCAGGGTTAACTCCATTTTCTCTCAGGCTGTGGAATTTCCTTATAGGGTCTACCAGTGTTCGGCACTAGGACCTTATATAAACGATATTCCAAAACTGGTATCGTTTGATCTATTACATTTGCCGATGATGTGAAACTTTGGAGAGAGATACGCAGCAAAGACAATATGCTGGCACTTCAGTAGGATCTGACTGAACTTCAAAGTTGAGCAGATGATAGCGAACTAACCCTTAACACTTCAAAGTATAAAGCAGTTCATTTAAGACATGTTGCAGACTGAAATTACAACTTGGGAAACTCCTCTCTAAAAATATCTCAAGTTGGAACAGATTTACGAGTGCTGGTACCCTACGATTTGAAGCCTCATGCTAACTATGACAAAAATACTTTTCGAGCGAACCTTTCACTGGTAAAATTGAGGCTCATTTTTGGCTAGTTTGACGGAATAACTTTCCATATAATCTTCATCAGTTTCATTCGTCTCCATTTAGAATATGGAACCATAGTATTTCCTCAGTCACTCCAAAAGGATAGGGACACTGGAGCGTATCCAATGGCGAGCCACGAAGTCAGTTGTGGGATCCAAATTTAAGTCTTATGAAGAGTGTCTCCAATCACTAAACCTTTACCCGTTAGAGTGCAGGCGTCTTAGAAATGACTTAATGGTTTACAGTATCTTTATTTATTTATTTATTTATTTGAGCACATAAATATTGGTACAAGAGAGCGCCAATATATATGCGCCACACAAAACAATGAAAATTCGAAGAGAGAAAAGAAAAAAAAAGAAAAAAACTAAGGAGCACAAAAGAAAAAGAGAACGATAACAAAGAGATTGGTGAAAGGTAGTGCGGTCGTAACGATGGAACGGAAAGGTACAATCGGAAGAAATCTTTCAAGTAAGGGAGACACAACCACTTTTTATGAAGAAAGTAAAAGAAGGTTACAGCAGGACCGCCACTGGCTTCTATTCTGAGCCATATCTGATAACGTCTCTAGCCACTGTGTAGCACCATCTCTCAGACCCCAACCAGGGAGTCGTGAAGGGCCGACAGAAGCCAGTCCTTTGCAACTTTCTTTCATACCACGACACCATGTCATGCACTGACCACCTCTCCGCTTTTTCCAACCAGTCCCAGAGTCGGCAAACAATGCACGACGTGGAATTCTCTGGGACGACATTCGTAGAACATGTCCAAGCCACCGAAGTCGGTGTTTCAAGATGGTGACACCAATTGAATTATCATCTCTGTGCCCAAACACACGATGCCGAACCTCTGCATTACTAACATGGTGTTGCCACTGAATGTCAGCAATCCTTCGGAGACAGCGATGATCGAACACAGAGAGTTGTCTAACGTCCTCAACTCGGAGAGGCCAGGTTTCACAAGCATAGAGCAAAACTGCTCTCACCGATGCGTTGTAGATCCGACCTTTTACAGCCAGACTAACATCACGAAGGCGCCAAAGGTGGCCCAGATTGGCATAAGCCGCTCTGGCTCTCACTATACGTGCATTGATCTCATCACTCACACCCCCACCAGCACTTATGCAGCTACCCAGATACACGAACTTCTCGACTACGTCTATCTGCTCACCATCCAATGTGAGTACAGGATTGGAATCCTGCCAGTCTTGTAGAAGTACTTTGCACTTCGAAGGTGCAAAACACATACCATACCTACGGACACTGATTGCCAACTGATTAAGTGCGGATTGCATGCCTTGGGCATTATCGCACAGTAAGACAATATCGTCCGCATACTCAAGGTCGAGAAGTCTTTCTCCAGGCAACAGATCCACACCACCATTACTTACATTCATCAGAGCTGTTTCCAGAATGTCATCGATGGCAAAGTTGAAGAGGAATGGTGAGATAGGGCAACCCTGCCTAACCCCACTACTCGTATAGAACAATGGAGAGAGGTGGTTGTATGCCCTCACTCTGCCTGAGGTGTTTTTATATAGGGCTTTTAGGATGTTAATAAACTTCTCAGGCACACGCTTCTTCAATAGACAATCCCAGAGAACAGTCCTGTCCAACGAATCGAAGGCAGCCCTGATGTCAAGAAACACTACGATTGTTGGCCTTTGATAAGTATGGCGATGTTCTAACATTTGGCGGAGGGTGAAGATATGATCAATACAACCTCGACCAGAACGAAACCCAGCCTGCTCCTCGCGAGTCAATCTTTCTCGGGTTTTGAACAACCTACGAAGTATGACGGAAGCCAATAGCTTGGACGCGATCGGAAGTAGACTTATCCCCCGATAGTTGTTGCAGGAACGACGTGAACCCTTTTTAAAGATAGGGACAACTATCGACTCATTCCATGACGTTGGTACACTCTCTAATTCCCAAACCTTTGTAAACAACGTCGTCAATTCCTTAGTCAAAAAGTCACCACCATCTTTAAAAAGAGCCGGAGGTAAGTCATCTGGGCCAGGTGATTTGTAACGCTTCAAGAGTTGGAGTTCCTTGCGGACTTCCTCCTCGTTCGGTGGATCAGTCGTCACCGGCCATGGAGGGCAGGACAGTCTGACCGATGTTGCCGGAGCAGCAGGCCAGTTGAACTGCCCTTCGAAAAATTCTGCCCATCGTCCAAGACGTCGATGGATGTTAGTGATTGGCATCCCATCATCCTCGCAGATTGTTTCACTCACACCAGACTTCTTGCTGCCAGTGGCTCGGATGAGCTGGAAGAGCTTCCGGTAGTTACCAGATGCAGCTGCTGCTTCCATCTCATTAGCACGCTCCGACCACCAGGCTTCTCGGTCCTTACGCAAGCTTTGCCCAATTTCCCTACGTAACATCCTTCGTTTATGGTCAAACTCACGGTCACCCGGAGTCGACCGACGGGCTTCAATAAGTTGTAAGGAACCAGAAGAAACCCAGTGCTTATAAGCGGGACGTTTCGCGAACCCACAACTGACTGTTCCCGCCATTTTCATGGCGTCATGCAATTGCAACCAATGCTCATCTATACTTTTCGGTGGAGTGGTAGCTAGCCTAGAAGCTAGCTCGGTTCGATACTTATTTGCAACAGAGGTTGCAACCAGCTTGCTAATATCAATCCTTTGGTGGTGGTCACTTCGTTGTCCACTGAAAAGTAAGGCAAGATTGGCGCAGACCAAGGCATGGTCAGAGTCCAGATAGGTACTCCAAAAGGAGCGGCAGTCTTGTACACAACCACGCCAGCGGAAGCTGATCGCGATGTGATCAATCTGAGTCCAGGCTTGGGATGCAGAGGGAGGACGCCAGGTGGCACATCGGCGATGACTGTGCCGAAAGTTAGTGCTAGCCAGAAACAGGTTGTGGTCTGTGCAAAGTTGCAGTAGACGGTCCCCGTTATCTGACCTGCGACCAACGAGTCCCCATCGGCCACCTAAACGACTCTCTTCTGTGCCTAGACGCCCGACCTGCGCATTCAAGTCTCCGGCTAGTACTACAATATCTGTCGAACGCACTTTCTGGAGAAGAACAGATAATAGGCGGTAAAACTCATCCTTGATTGCATCCGGGCTGCAATCTGTCGGGGCATAGGCGGAGATGACGAAAAGACATCGTTTCTCACGCCGATTTCTTCTCACTTTGATGGAACTTTCTAATCTAACAGCACATAACCGACTGTTAATGGGGATCCAATCGACTAGTGCTGCCTCAGCTCTAGCGCTTAGTGCGACACCAACGCCAGCAAGACCAGACGAAGATGCCACAGGGTCCCCGGATAAGCGCACGTGAAACAAGCTTTTCGAAGCGACAGATGGAGATCGAATTTGTAGTACTTCGCCAGAGTCTTGAATACGGGTCTCGGATAGACAACAAACATCAATATTGAGACTTTCCAAAGACATAGCCAGCCCTATCTGTTGTCCGACCTGCATTAGTGTGCGAACGTTGAAGGCAGCCAGTTTGAATGGTGCACGTGGTTTCAGAAAAACTGCTTCAGTTCTCGTATTCGGTGGTAACATACAATTTTCAACCGAACAGTGACTCGAGAACGTTTAGATACAGTCGAATTTCCACCAAAGACGAGCCGCTGTATAAGTATAAAGGAGGGTGAATAATGTGGAAAATAATAATAATAATAATAATAATAATAATAATAATAACAATAATGACAATAATGGTAATAATAATAATGGTATTAATAGTGACAATAACAGTAACAATTATTTGAATCAATTGAATGTTGATCGGAGAGAGGAAATTAGTTGCCGTAGTCATAGAGTTCATTGTTTGTGTGTGGGCTGTGATACTGCCCGGGTGCCCAAACCGAAGCAGGTGGTTATCTTAGGGGGCCACACCCCGAGCCTTTGACCTAATGGTCTAACCCACAAGGCAGTGGAACATCGTGAGGAGATGCGATCCCATGGTAGCCGGTGACCAACGATTGGTTCATACGCCATTTGTTCCCGCAGGATACTGGTGCCCATGTGCACCATTGGTTTGTGATCCGGTTAAAGCGCCGGACGTTCGCTTTTCGTCCTCTCATTTTCGTAAACAACACCCCCGCCACGAGAAGGCAATGAGTAGGACTTCCCTGGCAGAGGCTGTATACGCGCGGCCGTGTGAGAGTATTTCGAGAGGGAGAGCGGACTCTCCCCACTCTCGGCCGTACCAGGGCGTTCGGGGGCACCTACTTAGGTTTAGCATTAACACAAACCTAAGGAGTAATACCTATAAACTACAGACACAACACAGCAGAACGGACTGTAAACACATCTTTAACTCCTAAGAAGTAGTTAAATGCTGGAATTCTCTGCTGGCTGAGCTAGTCCAAGCGACTTCCTAGGAGTCCTTTGAGAAGAAAATTGACATATTCCTAAAGGCTAAAGGTCGTATCGTACTATGATTCACCAAATTTTTTATTTTTCCTCTTTTATTGCTAATATACCTGGGCTCCTGCCTAGAGGTTCAAATGGTTCAAATAGTTGTGGAAGGAATAGTAGAAACTTTCGCTTAACAGGCTTCCGTGTCTAGCAGCAGGGAATCACCAAATCCTCCAGGCAGGAACCTAGGTATGTTAACAATAAAAGAGGAAAAAAATCGGTTACTCATAGTATGATGCTTTCCTTGGTCCTTAAGAATAAGTCAAGTTGCCTCTTGAAGGACTCTTGGGAAGTCGCTTGGACTAGATCGACCAGCAGCAAGTTCCAGCATTTGACAACTCTTAAGGAGTATGAGATATGACTACACTCCGTTTTGCTATGTTGTTTCTCCAGTTTCTGGGTGTTACCTCTTAGGTTAGTGTTCGAACTAAGCCTAAATAGGTGTTTAAGAGGATGTCCAGAAGTGTTAAGAATACTATAAGCCATTAATATCGGTGATCTATTGCTACTAGATACGGAAGCACGTTGAACGAAAGCTTCTTCCATTCCGTCCACAACCATTCAAACCATTTGATCAAAAAATGCCTTAGAAAAGCCCCGTGCAGTTTAGCGACATTCTTTGGTGGAAAAAGACGTCTCTACCGCCCTCGTTTTCAACTTAGTGTGAAATTTTTGACACATGGCTAACAAAATCAACAAGATTATCTAAATTTTAGCAGTGCATCTATTTTGTTCCCGAATATCTCTAGTGAAAGAAAATTTCTTTAAGAAAAACTCCGATAAAAAGCATTTAGTCTACCATTCCTGTTCTACAAAATCAAAGGATGGATAAACCACAGTTGCAAAAAGTTCATTTTCACGGTTAAAACCATAGTTATTTATAGATTTTTGTTGTTTTTAGAATAAACTCTGAGCTCATAACCGAGTGATATTGGTGTTTTATGCCAAAAATCATAAGAAACATAGGAGTTTTATCTTTCATTCTCTACGTAACAAGGATTGGATATTACCGTTGATTGCCCGCGCCTTTTAGAGGTGGTGTTATGTGTCTGTCAGATGTTCTACGGAAACATGTTTTGTCAAACATGGAGTTGGTTAGTTTTTATAGTATGATTTAAGCTGAATCCTACTTATTATGGTTGTTTATAAGTGTTCATGTAGTGTCACTCGTAAGAAAACTTGTCGAACATCCAATCTCTCAAATTTAGGGAATTTTTTTTATCCGTTTTGAGGGAATTTCGCGGAAGCCGATATAGAAAATTTCTTGAAAATGGCACAAAATACCTAAAATTTTGCAGATTTCCCCAAAATAAGGAGGTTGGGTAGTGATTAATAACTGTTGACTACTAGGATAAATTCCATAATTTATTGACTATTCCAGTGGCCAGTAGATAACGACCTTGTCATTTGAAATCACAAATACTTATGTCCAAATATTTTCAGAGGTGGATACAAGGGAAATTGTCTTCTATCAGTCTTCCGAGTTCTCCGCTCTATAGATATTGAGTTCTGGTGTAGAGTAATAACCCAGGATTTTCAATATTGCTTGTTGTTGGGGAGAATCGCATTAGTACAGAGATTGGTAATGAACACTTGATCAGACCCAGACTATCCAACTTCTGTTTTCGATCTATCTGAACTTTTTTTCACAAATGATCGTTCGTACACAAAAACACCATTCTGTATTCCGAAAACTAATATAAGATTACTTCGACAGAAGTTCATATCTTCCAGTTTTCTCTCATTAAATTCAAAAGGCCTTTTAACACCCTCAGTTACTAACCCTTAACTATCTAGCGAACGGTTTCTCATTGTCATTCTCTCAGATCAAGTTCAAAGTCAGCACAAACTCAGAAGACTTAATGTTGGAATACTTAGATCACTGCACTCGGTGTTCATAACTGGTCACAGAAGAGGGAAATTAATAATGAACACAATGGTCTTGAGTGCTGTTAGAAGTATGGGGCGCTTGTCAGTTCTCGGTTGCTCACACCGTGGAAGGGTTCTTCTACAGGTACCTGAAAAGGAAATTACGTTAGAGCTGATCTTAACGACCTGAGAACATGACCGCAGTGCCCAAGGGACAGGGTCGGTCACACGACCTTTTTGTGGGTAAAGTGAGACTATAATTTATGAACGACCTTTGAGCGACACTAGTGTCCACCTAATAACTAGGACCAAACGAGGTTTATTAACCAGTGTGGGGAATTAGAATTGTGATTTACAGTTGATGGTTAAGGTTAGAAATTACATTTACTCAAAGACCTCTTATCGTATACCTGATTGGTTCGTCCATAAATCATAATCTCGCTGTAGGTACTTTTTGTGTTAACTCCGTACTTGCTGAGACCTTGCTGACGGATACGGATATCCGTGGGATAAGGCGAGATATGTATTTCTAAGGTCGACCTTTTCTAACCCCCAGCCTTCCCTTGTGAGGAGGAAGCATCGCTATTAAACTGGTTGTCTGAGGGAAACACCTTACTTCCGTCACACCTCTGTACAGTCAGCAGTCCGACTTTGCCCTCGGACCTTGAGTTTACTGCTTTTAGTTTTACCGTTCTTCAACCGACCTACCTGACATAGTTGGACCTTGAGGAACGATCTTTCCAGCCAGTATAGCCTAATCGGTCTATCACGATAGGCGAGCTCGACCACCACGTCAAAGTGGTAGCAACGGTCGGGTCATAACTGATCATGTGAGTTAGTGCTCTCCAGTAACATCAAATTCGTTTTATTGGAAACATTAACTTTTGTCCAACATGTAATCTCGTAAACTTCTCTTCTCCATAGATCGTAAGATGAATTTCGATTCCATCAAATATATCCCTATTATTTACATTATAAAAACCAAGTATAGTTTTCTGAGCTGATTTGAGAACATGAGCTTCACGATAGTTCCAACCGATACAAAATACCGTGGTTGGACGACGACAGGTAAAATGTCACAATGAATTCAACACATTATAAACTTAATTTGAATTAAAGAGAAATACTCATGCATCGAATATCTGTTTAGGTGACATTCATTTGATAATTTTGAGCAATGGTTTACAGTGTATTTATCACTCGTCAACCTTACTCATTTATTTACACTTATGAACATGTATTGTATTTATTATCATTAACACCAAAGCTCGCCAAATCAGATTGACCAGGTTTTGTACACTTGAACTTAAAAGTTCACCGATAAGGACTTTCCGTTGGTTAATAACCGTCCAGTTCCACTAATTATTCAGAATAATGTAACACTAGCAGTGGTTAGTAAGATCAAGTTTAAGAAGAGTTGTTTTGCACCTAAATTAGGGAAATTCTTTAGTGGTTTCACACTGCTGTAAAACCCACGCTCATAGTTGTAGTTCACCAATATTTTTGCTCCCAACTACTAAGTGTCATGCTTCAGTCCGTCTTATCCACTTGCGTATTATCCCTTCATAGTTTTAGTATTGATTGTCTGAATCATAGTACTTAAGATTTCGAATAGTTGGTGGTTACATTCTGTCTTAAGTGTCATAATTTAGGCTTAGGATAGTGTACGGTAAGCATCTACTTTTTTAATCAGTTGGATTTTAAAGTAGCAATTTTGCGTGATCAGTGAACTCAATATTAATATGGTTAGTTTGTAATGTTTATACAATCATCAGCAAATAATTCTTGTTTTTGTCGTACCTAGTCTTCCGAAGTTTCTTTCACAAATTACAGTTTACGATTTAGTAATACAAAATAATTTGAGCACGGGATGGATTGTTTATGACGATAAAACGGCATATTTGCAATGTCACGACAAACGGAAAAATGAATTAGTGACGCTTCACAACTTACAATAGGTCTAGAAACGTTAGAAATAGACTACCTAACTAAACATAATATGTAGAAGGTATAAGTTGATAGTAAAGTGACAAGTGTATTGCTAATGATAAAAAACAACAGCTCAAATCAATTTGTAAACATAGGTAGGTCAAAGCTCGGAAAAATAAACGTTAAAACCACTCAATGCGAATTGTGTAGATAATCAAATAGTAATGAATCTTACGAAAGGAACTAAAAAAGAACAAACGAGCATAGGATAATCTATTCCATGGTTACTGTTTACTCAAATATGCACTTAAAAATTAGGGTATATTAGAGCGAAGCCAGATGAAAATCTAGTCGAAAACAACGTTGTTTGCTTATATGTATTACGGCTCATTATATTGTTATAAATTAATTTATAATAACTACCATAATTATGTATCTTGAGAGATTTTTCCTGTTTAATGGTAAATTTTACAGCAGCAGTACTTAACAGCATGTTATTGGGCCGACAAACTTGTTTGTTTAGAAAAATGTATGTAATAATCTCAAATTCATTCAATAAACCAATTTAGATCGTTCAGAAGATGTATTACTTTATGCCAAAGCCCTGTATTATAGTCGACAATATCATCGTGCAATAGCTGTAATTCAAAATTGTAAGGAGTTAAAAGTACGTTAACTGGGATATTTAAAAAGCAACCTAGCAATCACTTGTTTGTCGTTATTTCATTGCCCAGTGTTATTACGCTTGCTCAGAATACAAAAAGGCTCTCGAATTTCTCGAACAGTCTGATTGTAATTCTACCGATTTCAACTCCAATGTAACGTCACTGGTCGCTGGTTCTTTATCTAAACAACTATGTATATCAACAGACTGTCAGAATGCTGTAAATGATGATTCCACAAAACAATCGAATACTGTATCAGACAGTTTAATAAGCGGTTTTAGTACAGAACAAGTAGTTTACTATTCGTTGAATATCATATCTTGATATTTCTTAGCTTCATAGTAGTATTGCATTATTGAAGGGAAAGTTATATGAATTAATGGAAAACAGATCTTTGGCAATGCAATTTTATAAAGAAGCTTTACTTCTTGACGTAACATGTTATGAAGCCTTCGAAAAACTTGTACACTTTCAATCAATTAGCTCAGAAGAAGGTGAGTAATAATAGTAATAATTGGGGTTCTATTTATCTGGTAACAGAATCTGCTTTACTAACCGAATTGAACTTCACTGATCATCTCAATCCGTTGATGAGCAAATTGACTGAATTTCTTTACAAAGATAAATTAAACAAGGTAATCGTTTGTATAATTGTTTTTGAAAATATTTCTTTGTCTAAAAGAATTCAGTATCAGAAACTAAGGTACCTGGTGAATTTGACTCATTGACCAATAATGTCGACGTTATTGTTAATAAAGCTGGACGTATGTTAGATGTTTGTCGATTTCAGGAATGCTACGACATTACGTCGAGGTATAAAATAAATAAGAACAGTAATATAACATTAATATTTTTTCTTTTTGTAGATTAATGCAATCAGATCCATATAATCTTGCATGTTTGCCAATTCATATTTCTGTTTTAAAAGAATTAGAAAAAGCAAATGGTATCTATATGATTTTTCATAGACTTTTATAGTTTTACTTCTGAAGAGTTATTCAAAGTATCTCATAAACTTATGGATGTGTATCCGTCAAGTGCAGTAAGTTAGCTTTGATATTCGAGATAGATTTCTTTTTTTATAGCTTGCCTGGTTTGCGGTGGGTTGTTATTATCTGTGCATTAAGAAGAATGAACTTGCAAGACGACATCTTGTGTAAGTAATTGCTCAGATATTGAATTATTATACTTTGTGCATTGCTTAATTTTTACTTATGAATGACTGTTTCGGTATGTTATTTAATTTTTAGAAAGGCTTCACAATTAGATAGAAGATATGGTCCTATATGGCTTACACTTGGGCATGCATTTGCTGCTGATGGTGAACATGATCAAGCTATTGCTTCCTATTGTACAGCTGCTCAAGTTATTCGAGGGTAGGTTTAAATTAAGAATACATTGAAAGTTTTTCATTTCTTTACAACAATAAGTCAGATCTAAGTGGGCAAAACATAATTCGACTTCTTAAATTATCGTTTACCATAACGTTGGGACTTATTTTCTGGGACTCCTCTAATATCCACTTTGGGAACGGTACGTTTAGTAGGGATTTAATGCATATCATACATTTGTTACAATTATACCGTAAACTTTTTGGAGCTATTGTACGTGGACTGTGCTCATTTTTTACATCTTGATCACTAATCGTAAACTTGATCATTTGTAATATCTCATTCTTCATCTGAATCTATCAAAAGATTTGTTCATGGAGTTTTATAGCAGTGACATAATTAGCATACATACACTCATCCTTTTTGCAACGATACCTGTGAAAAATTTTATCTCTCGGTAGTACAAAATTACGTGGCATCTAAGTAAGTCATCCAATTCAACATCATAAATTTTTCATCACTCCGATAACCGTGATCTTTTACTAATACATAACTTTCCGGAAGGCCAGATTCTTGTTTGTTTTATAAACTCTATGTCTTAGAACCATGGAGTATCACAATACGATAACCATTAGAGTAACTTGAGATTATATATGAATCAAATAGCCATCAGTTCTTTCAGTTCTTCAAATGAACAAATTACTACATATGAAAATTGTTGTTTATTTTAGACTTAAATTCGATTCCTTTGTTTTTTAACAAACTACTGACTTTTTTTGGTGATATTATAAAATATGCCTGTTAGATTGTAGCCGTCAATACTTGCTCGTTTCTGGGCCAGATTCCGATAGTAGAATGGTCTGATTTTGGTGACATCTCGTTATTTCTCATGTCGTAACACACAGCTTGTAGAATATGTAACAAAACGTTGTGATATGAAACGAGTTGATTACGAGTGAATAAGCTAATCATTTTAAAAAACCCAGTAGTTGAACGTATTTGTAAACTTATAGATAAAATTTGAGAGCTTGTAGTTCAGTCCTGGTTGAAAATGTACAGCTATGGAATCGCAGAAAGTTTTTAGTGTTATTGGATCTCAGGCTTTCTTTACATCTTCACGTTTTAGACGATGAAGCACAGCACTGTCAAACCTCCGTTAGCGAAAGTTGTTCTGAAGCCTTATAACTCCTTAGTCAAAGGTGAATTTTTTAACAGTAATTGTGACAAAAAATCGAACAACTTCACTACCCGTTGTTAGTGCGTTTGTAATTAAAGTTGCTTCTATAGTAATTAAAAATCTCAATCTACATGAGTTATTCGTAATAGCAATCACTGTTGTTCGTTTTCTTTTATCTTGATGCTGTATAGTTCGCATATTCCTATTATGTATATTGGTATTGAATACAGTGCTAGCAATAATCGCAATCTAGCTGAACGATTTCTTAATCAAGCTTATTTAATTAGTCCAAGTGATCCTTTTGTTTTACATGAACTGGGTACATTGGCTTTTGAATCACAAAAGTAAGCAAACTTTGTGCGTGAATTATGTTTATTTTTTTGTATTACTTCTATCCTTAATGTTTTTGATATCATTTCTATTGAATCAATCACCATGTTAAGGCACACGAATTTCTTCTTTCTCAACCAAGCGTCATAGATTTTCTGGGCTAGCATTGGTAACCGATGCATAAAGTGTACAATTATGATTTTGAATAGTATCGACTGTCTCAGACACTGGAGACGATTTATATTGAACTGTTTGTCACATCTGTTGTTGAATATGTCCCTTCATCCATGTTCAACTGTCGCGTGATCTATTGTTTTGTCTTGAGTCTATAATCATTTTTCTTTTATAGTTGTTCCAATAGCCTTAAATGACTCCATATTCCTAAGTGCACATAAGTAAGCAGTTTTATATCAATAGGATATCATTATACTCTGACAACATAAACATATTTGGAAAATAGAAGGTGAGCAATGGTCTCAACTGTTCGAGATCGCTAACACTTCGTTTCAGCTTTTTGCATAGAATATTCATTTAATATTTAAACTATAATCCTGAATGGATTTAATTAATCTTCTTTATCAGAATAGGGAGTTGTGATTGTAGTAATTCAACAGTTGGGTTCATGAGTCGATTTAAACTAGACCACCATTGAAAACCTGGAGGCGCTGAACGTCTGTTTCTTCTTAGTTTAGTTAAAGTCCTAATAAAATCTTCATAATAAAGATAAAAATAAAATATATTCAGTATTTAGGTGATATATCATAAGTGGTAGTGAGTTATTGAATCAATAATCTAAAGCTGGATAGTTTAGCTTTTGTCACTGTGCATGTTTGTCGAATAGAACAAATCTGTCCGTTAAAAAAAGTGTTTGTCCTAAATAATTAGCTTCTTTTTAAAGCCAATGGTAATACTACTGTTTGGGCTTGAGCTGTTCAGCTTAAAGGGCATAATCGTATCTAAAGGGACTTGGTTTAATTTTATTTATTCCCTTAAATGTGTTGGGTATTCTTAATTCACTTGCTGGCGTAACAGTCAACATATTAGTTTGTGATGTATCTTCATGTAACCTTTTGATGAAAAATATATATTTACATAATTCAAAAAAAAATGATTAGTGTAACTCGTCAATTACTAGTTTATATTCTCGACTGTTAGCTACGTTTATTGGAAGAGCAGGGCTACAGGTTACTATTTAAGTGTCTAAACCTAAACAATTGGACAGGGGATTTTAGTCAATCAGCTACAACTTAGGATTAAATATAAGAATGTGATACAAGGAGAAAGAGTTAGTTCGTAAAAAGAAAGGTATAAAGCAATTTTAATCTCACGGTTTAAGGGAAGACAAACAATGTATACACCTACGCCATTGTGATCGATTCTGAGCTATGTCACCCAGAGCTTCCAACCATTGGTTACGATAGTCGCACGGACCCCAACCAAGTAATCTGCATCTAGCAACATGGCTAAGACTAGAAGTTAGTGACTTCAAAGACTGATGCCACGTTCTGGTTTGGCCGCCCCTAACTTTCTTCCAACCATCCTCAGCACTAGTCAGCGTTGCACATCGTGATAATCGGTGTTCAGGCATACGTAACACGTGGCCCAACCATCTCAGCCGATGAAGATTTACCATCATTCTCTAATACCCAACGTCTAACATCACTATTACTTACCCGGTGACCCCAAAAGCTGGGAGCACTATTCCTAAGGCATTAGTGGTCAAATACTAGCAACTTACGAGTGTATTCTAATTTTAATGACCACGTTTCGCAGCCGTAAAGTAGAACAGAACAAACTGTTGCGCAGTGTACTCGCCTCTAAATTGATAGACGGATATCTCGCCTTCTCCACAGTTGACGTAAGTTGGCAAAAGCCAAACCAGCTTTTTGAATCCATGCAGAGATTCCGTCTGACACCAACCCATTAGGACTGATCAAACTTCCAGGATAAGTGAAGTTGTCGACGCGTCCGACCACTTCACTCCCTATCCTTAGTTCAGGTGTTGACTTAGGCCAGTCCTGAACCAACAACTTGCATTTAGAGGGGGGAACGCATTCCAAACATCCTGGCATTGTTACTCAGTGCTACCAAAAGACTGAATTTTATCAGCGTCTTCACCAAACAGGACTATGTCATCTGCGTACTCTGAGTCGATAAGTGGACCTCCTGGAAGGAGATCAACTCCTGAAAATTCAGTTGATGAGACCGTTATTCCCAGCAGTGGGTATATGATGGAACTAAACAGAAATGCAGATTAAAACACGAAGTTCAGCGAAGGGATCTCTTTTCAACGAATTTATTATCAAGCTGTACAATCGTATATATATGAAAATTTTGTTTTTGTAAAAGTAATAATTCCGTGAGGATATGTAAACACAGTTAATAAAAAAGGTTGTAATACTAGATTACTTAATACGAATAATAACAATAGATTTATTGAATATAATAAGATGATTAAAATGTTTTTGTCATAATAATTAAAGGTCATAGAGGTGTAAAAATAAATATGGTGATATGATGAGTATTTACGAATAAAACAATGAGAATATAAGACATAAGTAAAGGGGAATGCAGTAATAATAATAATAATAATAATAATAATAATAATAATAGGATAATCAAAATAATTAAAACCAAGGTAACGATAAGGCGTACTTCTTTCGTACGCATAGTTCTGGTTTAAGCTCCTGAATGGTAAAAGCTTCGGCTATTTTTAAGAGTTGGATACGAAATCTGGGTAGATTTGAACGAATCATATAAACAACCTTAAAATCAATTTGTGGATCTGTAGAATGGTTATAGTCGATTAGGTGTTCCAGTATAGAACTCCTAACTGCTTTCCTTTCACCGTTATAGAACCAAGCTTGGATATGTTCCCGTATCCGAATTAAAAGCGAGCGCTGGCTACGGCCAATATACCTTGCTCCACAAGAGCAGGTGAACTGGTAGATGCACATGGAGGCGACCAGACGCGGAAGCTTATCTTTTATGGATACAGAAAATAAGTTCCTACTAGTGAAGGTTATTCGCAGTTTTGCCGCGTTAAATGTCCTTCTAAAAGTTGTTGTTAGACGGTTTTTGATAACGTCTGATGTTCGATCACCTTTAAATTCCAGACTTATATATAGGCTTTTCTTCGGAACGGAACATCTAGATTTCTTGTCGTAACTACTATTCATATTCTTTTCTACGAACCATTCCGGGTAACCATTTTCCGTCAAGGCTTTCTTGAGGAATGCGAGTTCTTCGTTAATGCATTCCGTACTGCATATCTGATGTATTCGATAACATAAAGAATGGATAAGGTTTCTCTTCCTACTTAATGGAACTCAGCTATAGAAGTTGGTTAGCTGGCAATTCCATGTTTGTTTTCTAAAGATGGATCTTTTTAAAGAACCATTACTCTTTCTCATCAGACGTACATCGAGAAAAGGAAATGATTGGTCTCGTTCCCTTTCTAAAGTGAAGTCTATGGAAGGGTGGCGTAAGTTAAAGGTATGTAGAATGTCATCTAAATCAATATTATTGTCACAAACGACAAACGTGTCTCAAGTATAAGTGGAATAGATTGATCATTGAACGGAGTTGGTCGTTTTCTACTTTTGCCATGAAACAATCTGCTAAAAGTGGACCCTTTGTCTATATATTTCATTATTGAAACTGAACTGGACATTAAAAGTACAGCGTAACAATAGTTATTTCAAGTGTTCAGTCGGCAAACCTAGATCTATGTCGTTAGAATCAATATACTCACATATATAACATATCGTTTCGGTTAAAGGTACGCTAGTGAACAAAGAATTAACGTCAAGCGAGAACATGTGTTTTTCGGAAGTATTAACGTCCTTAATACGATCAATAAATTAAATAGAATATTTACATACTTGCCTTCTAACCGGTTCCAATTTTTCCGCTAACCATTTGACGATTCTGTGGTATGGTGAACTTGACATGTTCAAAATAGGTCGTAACGGTAAACCCGGCTTATGTATTTTCGGTAGTCCATATAAGCGCGGGATGATTGAACCCATGGAACGTATGTTATTATATAAGCCTTGGGTTATTATACCCTTATTCTTAAGATTTTTAACAACATCTGTTAGCTGTCTTTCGATTTGGAATGTTTCATCAACTTCTCCTTTAGGTTTGGAGAATTTAGTACCATCCTCTAGGATTAACTTCATTTTATCCAAATATTCTTGGCGGTCAAGTGGTACTACACCAGCTCCTTTGTCAGGTTTACTTAGGATTAAACCCTTATTTCTTTTCAACAGTATTAGAAATGGAGATAGTGGATAGTCTTGTCGGACATCACTTGAGGTTGCGAAATCAGATGACAGTTCACCATAAGTTCTAACTCGAATAGTAGTGTTTGAGTAAAAAGCTTTCACAAGGTTTATGTACTTCTGAGGTACACCTTTCAATGACAGACACTGCCACGGAGGATTTTAACCTTTGATCAAGTGGTTGAAAGTTAAAGACTGTAACCGATTAAGCCATAGCCCGAAAATTCAGAACTAATTAGAATAGTACTAAAAGATTTTAGTTACTTCATCACAATTCACTAGTAACTTTTTTCTATACTCCTTTTTAGATATGTAGACGCTACAAGATTCCTAGTTCGAGCTTATGAAAAGGCTTGTGAATTAAGTGGACAAATTCCTTCGCCTTTCTGGGAACCTCTTGTTAATAATTTAGCACATTCTTATAGAAAAATGGGGTAAATGAAATTTTATGTCTACAATGTTTTAAGTATTGGTATCTTATTATTACAACAGGTTTCTTGTCAGTTGAAAACTCACACAATTTAGTAGATATAAACAGACCATATCTAGTGATATTTGTTTAAGCTGTTTAACTGTTGTTAAATAAGATTTAATTGTACTTGAGAATATAATGTAAGTGTAGTGTTATTTAGTTATATGTGAAAAACATTACTTGCCTAACTAATAACGCATGTATAAAACAGAATAACGGTTATTCTTGGCAGTAAAACATTTTGTCAAGTAATCACGCGAACATAAACGAAAAACTATCAATAAAGACACATCCACAGTGTTATTTCGTTGAAATTTTATATAAGAAAACTTCGTATCACAATTGTTTGAGAAATAATACCCTTAATCAAATCTCACGAAATATTGTCGCAATACCAATAGTGTTAATAAGCTCACACTGTCTTGTAATAAGAAATATAACTATCATTCTTTGTCTGAATCAGTCAAAAATCCTTAGATATATCTTGAATCACCTGACCAGTCTGTATATGTTTTTCATCGCGGCATTTCAATTTTCGGTCATTATGATTATTTGTAGATAATTAGGACAAAAGGTTGTACATATGGTTGTTGAGTGTATTGGTATATTTAGTATGTAACTGACTACTTAGTTCGTTGTACTTTTACATAAATATGTTAAAACCCTTTTATTTGAACTGAGTTATAGACTTTACAACCAAGCAATAGCTATGCATGAACTTGCACTTCGCTTAGTGCCTGAGTCTCCAACAACACTTGCGTGTTTGGCAATGTTGCATGCAATCAATGGTAACCTTGAAGTTGCAGTAGACTATCTTCACCGGTCTGTTGGGGTCCAACCATCGAGCTGTGGGTCTACTTCTAGCAATGTGGCTTCTACAATGCTGAATGTATGTATTGAAGCGTTAACGGGGAAAGGGATTTATGCTTCGAATCAGAAAGTTGGAAAAGGTAAGGGTGAATTGAATCGACCAGCCTTTTTATTTTCTATATTAAGTGAATGCAGGAAAATAGATATACACTATTACGGTGTATGCACACAGACTTCTACTAAAAAAATATCGACTGTCAATATAATTAACCAATTAGTAAATACAAAAGAATAGTATATATTAAAACATACAGCGCAATTAAGGGAAACTACACATGCATGACTATCAGTTTCTATTCTAAATTATAATAACATCTCATGCCACTGAGTTGCATGATTTTCATGAGTTATCCTAAAGCCATGATGAACAAACAGCTGCTGTCCCACAGATTAACTGCTTCTTCTGTTTTTCCACCTAGCGTCAGAAAATAATAGGGGTATGGAGTAGCGTGGAGCCCTCATAGAGTCACTACCGGTCCAAAGCCCGAGTAAAGAAGAAGGGTCATGGATGAGATTGGCAACTCTATCCCGTAGAAAAGAATCTTGCTAAAAGAACGATAGCCAGGAAAGTCATTTGACTATTTAGGCTCTGTGAAAATAAAATACAGTCTGTCGGTGCCTAAAATACGTGAAACACATTGGATGGAAGCTGGGCAGAAATATTAACTTTGGGATATGTGCTGCTGTATTTTTATCATGGGGGAAGAAGGTGCCTCTCGCATACAAGGAGCTACACGTTTCTAATAAAAATCTTGACGGGACAATTTCTTTTGAAAAACACTAATTTACCAGTCAGGATCCATTTCTAATCCCATACTTGTAATGGCTTACTATGTAAAATTTGGTGCGATAACTTACTTACACTTTAAATTTTATTTGACTGTTCAGATTCCATCATCAGAGATTTCATTTCTTATCCAGATGAGTTATGGCACGCTAGCGTTGTATGAAAACCTTATGGATGTTGTGATATGCAAGTATAGAACATCATAGTTGTCATCATTGCCTTTTAAGACATTTTAAAGGCTTTATAGACTACTGAAATATTTTAGTTAAATGTGATGCTAGATTCAGAATTCAATTGACAGGAAACATTTTTTAAATGGTCACGGTGTGTATGCCGTGTTTGTCGATGTACACATTTTCGATTATTTATCAGAATAGATTAATACCATTCCCGGCCGCACAGTGAATCAATAGCTCTTGCTCAAAATAGAGTATAAATCATTTTATGTACCTGAGTGATCTAATCAAAACAAAGATTCAACTATGGGTTTAGGATTACTGTATATTACGTATGAAGATGATTAATAAACCTTTATATATTTGCTACAATTTTTCTAAAATCCAGTCGCTGAATTTAGAGAACTCAAGGAATTCTATTTACTCTTGCTATTGTTTTAGATATTCCAGATACTCTTCCTGAACACCTTATGACTGCTGCTGGACCAGGAAGTCTTCCAGGATCCAACCGGATTCGTTTCAAAATGGCGCCAAGTGAGACTTTAAAGCCTAACAAATCGGTGCTTCAGTTGGATGTTAATTATAGAGAAAAATCTGCTAACGCTCCCAACATATCGCTGCACACAAGCGATGAAGATGTGTCTATGGACCTTGGTTAATTCCTTGGTTTTATATAAGTGATTGCTATTGTCCACATATTCCCTTGTAACTAGATGTGAAACAAGACTAAGCTTTACACATGTTTTTTTATCTGTCATTAGGGATTCAAATTTTCCAAGTATAACATCTATCCTACTCGTCTTTACGATTGTATTCACGTAGATTTGTTTTCTCCCCATAATTCAGTTATAGCTGTCACCCTGATAAGTGGTCATCTCTACGTATATTATTTCTTAAACCAATTGATACTATAGCATAAATGATTGCGAGTTGGTTTTTAACCGGAAAACAAAGTCATGCTGCTGTATGATCACATACTTCAAATACATGAAGAGACAAAGTTTACAACTTTCAAGTTATAAAAAGCAATCTGATAATGATTGATTCCAGTTTGGGCGCCCAGACAGTATCTCAGCCCTCGCACAAATCGGATGATGAAGTGTGGTGCATATATATTTGGTACCCCCTTGTTCCAGTGTTTGTGTTTAAATGGAATAAATAATAATTAATCTCAGAAAGCATAGTCAGTCAGTCAGTAACAACGTAGAACTTAGTACGTACGTACATCAGTTCGAGTTGCCATACCACATTAGCACAGAGATGCAGTGGTCGATTCAAATCCCGTAGTGGTAGAGGTAGCAAGATTATAAGCAGTAATCGGGAAGATTAGGGTTTGGAGATGTTATTTAACGAGTATAATCCAGTGAAATAAATTTGGAAAGAGGGAAAACAGGGGCATGAAGAATTCAGATAATTAGAATTTGGGAGAACATAGAGAGTGGATGCACCTGCGCCATTGCAAACGATTTTGAGCCATGTCATTCAGGGTCTCTAACCATCGGTTGCTATCATCTCGCAGTCCCCAACCAGGTAGTCTACACCTACCAACATGACTCAGTCCACTTGTCAGTGACTTCATGGATTTGTGCCATGTTTTGGTCTGGCCGCCCCTAGCTTTCTTCCAACCTACTCCTATACCACTGAATATAGCACGTCGAGGTAGTCGGTGGTTGGGCATACGTAACACGTGTCCCAGCCATCTCAACTGATGAAGTTTCACTACTTCATCAATTGATTTGCCATCCTTACCTAGTACCCGTTTCCTAACAGTTGCGTTACTTACTCGGTGGTCCCAGGATATACGAGCAATACTTCGAAGACACCTATGATCAAATACTAGTAACCTACGAATATCCTCTACTCTTACCGGCCATGTTTCACAGCCATAAAGTAGGACGGAACGAACTGCTGCGCAGTAAACACGTCCTTTGGTTGGTAGACGGATATCTCGCCTACGCCATAAATGACGCAAGTTGGCAAAAGCTAGTCGAGCCTTCTGTATCTGTGCTGAGATTTCGTCACACACCAGACCACAAGGGCTGATGAGACTTCCAAGATAAGTGAAGCGGTCGACAGACTCAACTACTTCACTCCCTATCACTAGTTCGGGAGTCGATGTAACCCAATCCTGAAGCAACATTTTGCATTTCGAGGGAGAGAATCGCATCCCGAACATGCTTGCATTGTTGCTTAGAGTGGTCAGAAGACTCTGCATTTTGTCAACGTCTTCACCAAATAAAACTATGTCATCGGCATATTCTAAGTCAACAAGTGAACCTCCCGGTAGAAGTTCAACCCCCGGAAATTTAGATGAGGAGAGTGTTATCTCTAAAAGTACGTCGACCACAAAGTTGAACAAGAATGGGGAGAGTGGACAGCCCTGACGAACACCACTTGAGGTAATCAATTCTGATGACAGTTCGCCATAAGCTCTCACTCTACCAGTTGTGTTCGAGTAGAGAGCCTTTATAAGGTTAATGTACTTCTTTGGTACTCCTTTCAGTGACAAACACTGCCATAGAACCTTACGATCAACAGAGTCGAATGCCGCCTTAAGGTCGAGAAATACTACCATTGTGGGGCGTCTAAACGTGTGTCTGTGTTCTAGAACCTGACGTAGTGTGAATATCTGATCTATACAACCACGTCCAGGTCGAAAACCAGCCTGATTTTCTCGAGTCTGCTCTTCACGAGCTTTGATTAGGCGTCGAAGTATTATTGAAGCTAATATTTTAGACACTATATTAGTCAAACTGATTCCTCTGTGATTGTCACAAGAGGACTTTTGTCCTTTCTTATAAACTGGCACAATCAGTGATTGAGACCAGTCAGATGGGATTACGTCCAGTTCCCAAATTCTACCTAAGACCTCGGTTAATCTCATTGCTAATACTGGACCACCATCCTTAAAAATCTCAGGAGTAAACCTGTCAGGGCCTGCTGCTCTCCCTCGTTTCAGATTTCCTATGGCTTTTTCAACTTCATAAAGAGACGGAGGACCTACATAAACTTGCCATTCAGGTTGACTGGAGATCGTGGGAAACCGAAGTGTGGCTGAAGGCCAGTTGAACTGATCCCTAAAGTGTTCTGCCCATCGATCCAATCTCCTGGATTGAGAATGAATAATATGTCCATCTTTCTCTGAGATTGTTTCGCTAACAGTCGGGTTCCTAATTCCGGTTTCCTTAACGAGTCTAAACAATTGTCTGCTATTACCTATTGCCGTTGCCTTTTCCATCTCTCTTGCTTTCGCTACCCACCACTGTTCGCGATCATTGCGTAGACTTCTTGTCAGTTTGCGCTTAAGCTGACACCGCTCTTCATTATGTTCAGAGCCAGGTGGAATGAGTTTCCGAGCATCTATCAGTGCGATAGATGCTGCTGAGATCCAGTGTTGCTCCCTAACCTTCTGGTTTACCTTACTAACAGATATCACTGCTGTTTCCACAGCTTTTCGGATATCATTCCATGCTGCCTCGGGGTGGGCATCACATACATGGCTGCATAACTGTTTTCCTAGTTGTTCCTGAAATATACTCTTAGCTTGACTATCATTAAGTAGGCCCCTAAGAGGTTTCCTTGCAGCGGTTTTCCTACGTCCAGTAAGACGCAAGCAAATACGCGCTCGTACTAGAGCATGATCTGAATCTAGGCTTGTGCTCCAGAATGAGCGACAGTCTTCTATCGAGCCCCTCCATCGGTGGCTGATAGCGATGTGATCTATTTGGGTCCAACGTTGGGACGAATTAGGGGGTCGCCATGTTAAAAGATGTTTTTCCTTATGCTTAAAGTTAGTATTTGCAAGGAACAGGCGATTATCTGAGCATAGCTGCAACAGACGGTCGCCATTATCTGTTCTTTGAGCCACTATACTATAAGATCCACCCAGGTGTCTTTCCCTATCGCTTAGTTTACCTACTTGAGCATTAAAGTCACCGGCCACTATTACTACATCCGAGCGCTTAGCTTTTCGGAGAAGGTCCGAAAGCTTTCTGTAAAACTCATCTTTTACATCATCTGAGCTGCAGTCAGTGGGAGAATAGGCAGAGACGACGAAGAGGCAACGACGAGTGTCCCTATCTTTCCGGATTCTTACTGTTCCGTTCAGTCGGACAGCGCATAAACGACTGTCTACTGGGATCCACTCTAAGAGAGCTAGTTCTGCCCTAGGACTCAATGCTATACCTACGCCGGCGAGGCCACGGGAAGCAGAATCAGGGCTTCCAGATACACGAAGCGTAAATCGAGTCAGTTCTTTATTTTGGCATGGAGAGGTCAAATGAATGATGCTACTTGGATCCTGTATGCGCGTTTCGGAGACGCAACACACATCGATGGCGTAAGATTCTAAAGTCCTAGCTAAGGAAGCATGCTGTCCTATTTGGCACAGTGTTCGGACGTTAAAAGCTCCTACGTGTAGTTTAGAGCGTGGTTTGAGGAGACCAGGAATAGAGTTCCACGTACTCGAATCGTTTGCCCTAGCGGTGCGAGGTGATAAAGAGACGTGAGGAGGGTTAGTCATGGAGATAAGAGAGGTATTAGAAGGTGTAGGAAGGATTTGAATGTGACCAATTTGGTCTCGCGTGCTGTTACGGGTATGAGGGCTGATGTCACTTCCCGGCTGCCCACACCGTGGAAGGGTATTTCTTGAGAAACCTGAAAAGGAAATTGGATTAGTGTTGGTCTTAACGACCTGGGAGCGTGACCGCAGAGCCCAAGGGACAACTGCTTGAGGCCGGTCGCGCACGGCCTTTTTGTAGAAGGTTTTTGACGTGTTAGCTCCGTTCTTCAGATGGCCTTACCGCCGGAGACGGAAATCCGTGAGGTAAGGTGAGGTGTGACATTTTTAGGGTCGACCTTTTCTAACCCCACCCCTCCTTGTGGGAAGGCAGCATCGCTGTCATGCTGATTGTCCGAAGGAAACACCTTACTGCTGTCACACCTCTGTACAGTCAGCAGTACGACTTCACCCTCAGACTTTGAGTTGCTGCTTTTAGTCTTACCGTTCACCAATCGACCTGCCTGGCATGGTAGAACCTACAGGAACATATGTTCCAGCCAATATAGCTCGGATGGGTCATCACGATAGGCAAGCCCGACCACCACGTCAAGGTAGCAGCTTCGGTCGGGTCAGAAAGCATAAGTTTCGATTCCAGTCGCTTGCACGTCTGTTGCTAAAAGAAATCTTTGAAACATAACTAAGGTTTAGTCTGAATTTAAAGGTCAACGATTTACTTATTCGTACATAAAGAATAAATAGTTTTGTCACTCGGTAATACAATTCCTTAATTGTTGCTCGGTTTCATTCAGCTAAATTTTATATATGTAAGCAACAAGTATGAAAAAAGCTGCGACATTATCAGTTCTCTAGTCATTGAGTTGAACTGTTCACGTAATTTTATATCATTACAATTGTGACGAGGAATGTATAACAATACGAGTCGCTGTTTAGATCAATGTAGCTGACAAAAACTACTAGTAGTCTTTAATACGTCCGTGCACTATGGTAATATTTCGCAACCCCGACTTCAATACAGTGAACGAGACGATTATCCTTTTCTTTACTGGCACCATAACTGGAGTAAACAGATTGAAGCGTTTCGACAATGACCTCATTACACCAACCGAAAATATTAATCAATGGATTAAATATCAGTTACAATCATTAGAATCTATGAACTAATTATTCGTTACTAAGCCAAAATATTATTAAAAATGTATCGAAAGCCTATGAGTACAGTCCATGCTAGATCACTTGATGTAACGGAAATGCATCTGAATCAACATTGATTTCATTTCTCGTAAGCTGTATTTCAGGACTGGACATCTTTAATAGTTTTAGATACAACGCTGTATGAAATAAGGTTTGTACTTAGGAATACCGCTACTCACTACACTTTGACCTACACTATTGTATCCCAAAATACCACAATACTCAGATAATGAGAAACACAATAGTATTAAAACAGTTACTGTTGGAAAAAGATGAATTAGGTATGTACTCTACATTTTATATTGTAGCTTCGTTTGAAGCACTCATGGGTTACTCTCTTATAAGGCTAAA